GTAAGTTCAGCCTCCAACTGACTGTCAGGGTTATTGACGCCAGAGTGATGGACTGATAGAATTCACAGTTCACATCACAGTGAGGCCTAAACCATGCCGTAATGAGAAATATAGAATTATCAAAACATATTCATTGTGAGATACTTCTGATACAAACATTGGAAAGAAAACAGACTTGGCATAATACAAACACTTTTATTGCCTTCCTGTTGGACGCATAATTCAATTTATATAATATAATGAAGACAGAGGTATAAAATGTGGATGAGCGTAAAGTTCAACCAAGAGGTCATATGACCATGAAAGAAGCCAACAACAAATAAGATTAAATAGTTAAACAAGTAAGTTGAAATCCAAAAATTAACCTTGAATCAAACAACCATAACAGCCCAGTCACTTATGGTGCCTTCATGACCGTTCTAAAAGCATTATTGTTCTGTAGGCCATGCGACACACACATGCATCTTCAGTTGTATCAACAGTGATATCCCACATAAGTCAAACCGATTGATGTTAGGCCCAACGAGTAGAGGCACACGCGCCCAGGTGATTTGTGACCTCCAGAAATCCGGCTTTATAGATTGCGCGATACCTGGCAACAACAACAAGCAGCTAGGTGGACTTGGTTCAACCGTTTAAAATCGTGTATCGTAATCACAGACAGATCCGAAATCGTTGTGAAGAGTTGTTATTCACAAAAAACAAATCACGCTTGTATGCATAAAAACAATTAACCCCGTGGTACCAGCAAAACTGCACCCGTCACCCACTCACGCTTTTGTGGCCACGTAACCCATTCATCAAATTTACACCCATCTTTATTGTTTGCCAGTAGTTTGATTACGGCGTATATGTGAACATTTTTTTTCGATGGGCGACCGAGGAAATAAAATAAAATTCTGGCATTTCATAACATCTGTGGTCATGATTTGGTTAAACCGTATACTGCTGAAAAAAGCATTTGATAGTCTGTAGCCAACTTTGAATTGCACCGGGTGTTTGATCATACATCGTTGTATGAGGAAGGGGCAGAGGCCAAGCCTATGATCCCCAGGGCTGTCATGGGATAGAAACCTAAATCCCGGGGCTTGCGGGGGAGTGAACCATATAATACCCCACAGTAGGATAAAGGTGGGCTGAAACCTTTGATCTCTAAGGTCCTGAAGCGTGCCCTTAGAGGCAACTTAAACCGCTTGATCACCACAGCTATCTCGCGTGACCGATAACTTAGTTTGTCGGCTAACCGTTGTCACGAGCTACATTGACAGTAAGGAGATCAAAACAAATTAAATAACCAGTAATCATGGCAGATAGAGATGAACAACAAATGACCACAAGATTCAGAAGATCGATCATCATTAAAAAAATAAACGGAACCAAGTTTGGAAACAACATTCTCCGATTGTTCTTCGTTCTAACATCCAACTAACCACAGAAACGACTGTCTGACGAACCTGTTATGTGCGGCCCAGGATCTGTTTCTCATGGCACCACTAAGCACACAACTATGGTGAGGAAGGTGATTCGCAGATCAAACATCAGTTTCAGGCAACGATTGTGAAAAACAGAAGCCGGAAACAAGGTCAAAACCGACAATAAGGATGAGACGAAGCCGCGCTGCTGGGATCGAGCACCAGATAGATCAGTGCTGACTGTAACAGGTTTGACTGAGATTGGGCAAGTGGATGCCCGTGTGTTTTGACAAGTAGTAATGGGAGGCTGTGAGAATCGTAAGCATATGGGTACCCGGAATGAAACATATTGATACCCACAAACACACATGCACACACGAGATTTCGCATGAAGGACTGACCAAACAGAAAACGACGGATTATGACAAGCTGGGTTGAGTAAGCAGGTAACTCCGCGGGTCGGGGGACAGAAATAAAAAGGAAGAATGGGATGTGTTAAAATTATCGATTGTTCGATCGACCAACTGATCTTGCTATATGAAAGATACAGAAGTAGTGGGAAAAGGTTGTCTTACCTCACAATGGCCAGTCGAACATCGGCTATGGTATTTGAGTGGTTTAAACGAAGAACCAACCTGTTTGATGGCGGGAGGGGGGGGTAAAATTGTCGAGAGAAGCACTGGGCATTTCAAGGCACGCAACGACAAATCAGTATCGAGAGCAATATTAAATGAGCGTAACGGAATACACAGTTGACTTTAGAAAAATGGATTAATTAAGATGCGTATGTAAATTAGAGTAAATCAAATCGAAAAAGTTCTACATGATAGAAAGCGATTATCAAAATGATAAGAATGAGAACTGAATGAAACAGAACACTTCTAATCCGAGCAGTATCAGTAAAATGAGAGCAGCTCATCATTCAAGAGAAAATATACCAGCCATAATTTGTGATTGCTAGCTGCAAATGCGCCGTCGAATGCCTTACTAAGATCAGGAGGGTTACATGGATTGTGACTGATCACCTCTGCCTTGAACCTCGATGAGTGCTTCTATACAACCGAACGTTTCAAATAACCTCCGTTCTACGCACGGTCGCAAGTGACGGATATGCTTTCCCGCCAAAGTGAGAGGAAGAAAAGTCAACATTCGAAGTTGTAACCAGGTTAGTGAGCCACTAGTATTCAATCTCGAGAACTTGCAAAAAATGTTGATGCTAAATCAGTTAAGATGAGACACTTCTATATCATCCTAGCCCTGACGACAGTCACCGGTTTGACTGAGAATCGATGCAGTTTGGAAATCTGGAGTGTTTGACCACATTCCGAGTACGAACCGACCAAATGGATATCTGCTCAGTCCTGCTGTTCCGACTCTCTAGACAACGGCTTCGGCTGGGGACCTCGAGGTTTTATTCAACTTCTTTGACCGGAACAATCGGAAAGCGATATGCTCTCACAACTTATAGATAAACTTTACATTGTTGCACTTCGCCAACTGTTGTGTTACATAAGGTGACTGCTTCCGTGGTGCTCTAACTACCAACATGGTTTTCCAAAAGAGGAGAATGAACCGCTCAGTAGGTCATCGTCTGGTATAACCCTGTATTTAGGTATACAAAAGTCAGGTGCAACCTAGAAAAAATACCAGATGAGGTCCCATTAGCTCATCCTCTATTCTGGACTGGGTGATCAAGCAGTAAAACAACCACGAACAGCAATGAAGACACCACTCAAGAATACCGACTAATTCGCCATCAGGTACTGGCACAAAAGTGAGGTTAAAGTATCTGTAAATGACTTTCAGTATTCGGATCTAAAGTGACCTGAAACATAGGTATCAGTGCTGACATATTACAGCTAACCATTCAACTAAAATTATAAAAAATCCCCAATAATAGACATTAAATTTAAAGCTGCACACATTTCAACCAATAAGTTGTAAATCTGGTTTAAATCCGGACAAAATTTGTGACATACTTTCGAAATCTAATCTGCATCCTTACAATTTTTGACTCTAATTCAACTCTTTACTTTGGGTAACATCGCAGAAGTTTGATCACAAAATGATATTTCTCTTTGTTATTCGAACCAAGTTCTTTGGCCTTATTTGCTGACACTTCTGTATCCATTGAATATGAACTGCCTAGTACTAGCCGAATTGGGGTTCTAAGATGGTTTGGAACCAAAGGCATTTCCTTTAAACGGTACAACAGATATCGTCTTACAATGCATACTTGATAAGCCACTGTTGTATGCGTTACACAAAACACAAACCGCACGCGAAACACGTTTGACTTCTTCTCGTTTACCGATCATTCACTTCATTCGCTTTCTTGCTCCCTAGCGTCTGTCATCCTCTTGCTCCATGCCCGAACAAGGAATAACTGGAACAGTATTTTGGATGGAATCATTTAAAGATGATTACCGACCATGATGATTCGAAAACTTTGAGCCACAGTCCTCCATGTTCGCATGATTTATTTTGATCAGCTTAAGGAGCACTGTTCCAATGGTAATTTTTAAATAAAGATAAACTTACATTTCGTTAGAATGAACGAACATGAGATTGTGAGACTGCACAAGGATTCGTGGTTCAAAATAACCAAAAATAATTAACTAACCGGAAAATTATTATTCTGTATAGAGCTTTATCATTCGGAGCAATGCAAAAACAAACAAACAAATACCAGCAAACGTTTTACGGAAGGGCATGGTAACCACGGATAGAGCCCCGCTACCGATGTCTTTCGTTTCACTGAAACAGTAGCTAGCCGGTCGTTTAAGAAAATGCGGAATTTTGAGCCAATAGATTCTCTGCTATGAAATAGCTCCATCTACGTCTCAGATATTGGAAACTCCCTGGTCTTTGTTAGTACGGCTTGCATTATCATCGACCATAAGAGAACATTACTCGACTGCAGCTAAAAAAAATAGCTACTCATGAGTAGTCAGAATAAAATTCTATAAATTGAATACCTGTAACCAAATTCCTGGATGTTGGCGAACAAGAGATCGACATACGGTGAACAACTAACCTCATGTCCTCGAAAGAATTGTTGAAAGCGGAGCTAAACTATTCTCGGCAACTTTTTGCTGGTAGTAGAGACTCCTGGACCAGTGTAACATCTATCCCACTGAGGCCTTACAAGGAGGTTACTAATCCGGTTCGAGGCTTAGGTTGTCCTATCCCCACATTATATATAGGTAGTTGCCGTCTTTATCGTTACTGTACATACTATTCATTAGATACGATATGTTACGATATGTTCTTAAAACAGCACTACAATAGAAGTTTCTTGTGAAGAACCTTCTTATCGTTAATTATTGATAAGAGAACCGCATTCCATACACCGAGCGGAAAAAGGTCCTTGCAGAAGATAAAATCTTCGAGTGGTGTGGATCATACACATAGAGCGCGGTGGTCAGTGACATTGAACAAATGATATATCCTTGGTTCAAATAAGCGAACATAGTGAGACCTAACGGGAAAAATATGAATCACTACCAATTTTACAACCATATAGAATAATCTACTCCGTCGATTTCGCAGTCATTGCGGCAGTAACTCAATATTAATGATGAGCGATTAACCCAAACTGGATTCATACCTGCCACCATCAGGCATACGAACTTGAACCTGAGTGACCGGTTTGGATTCATCCACTGAAGGACCGGGAAGTGAAACTGGTTGCTCAACCGGTGGCCTGGGAGTTGTTGTTGTTGTTGTACTGGATGGAACAAGCCGGGGAGTTGGATGTCCGAGCATAGTGCCAGTGCCTGAAAAGGGTTTCACCTTTGGAGCGGGAGGAGCGCGCCAAGCTTCGTGGTGATGATCTTCAAGTAACAAGTTGACCAGACCACCACATGCTGAACGTATCAGTTCCTGTATTGAGAAAAAATTGAAAAACATTGCACGAATGTGATCGAAGTGGCTGATCACGGCATGACACATATTACATCGTGCGCAAATCACATCACAGAAAGGAAAATATGGCAAACTAGCGGAAGCGTTTCAGGTAGCACAGCATCGCTGAGACAAGCAAAATTCGTTCTGGTTCATATTACTTCAATCTTGTTCCAATGGATAGAAAACCTCAATAATTTTCCACTCCTTTGAATATTTCTTTTTTTCTCTTTTCAATATATCACTTCAGACATTTACATACATATAATTCCATTAGTCAATAGATTAATACAACGCCTAAGCTGACGTTAAATGGATGTGTGTGCACAAAATGTCCCGTTGACAACCAAGTAGAGGGTCAGGAGAAGTGGATGCGGAAAAACATGGGGAAAATGCACGAAGTTAACACAATATGAAATGAGTTAGTGGAATGAATAGAATAGGTGCGAAAGTGTGAGAGAGAAAAGACAGTAAAATACATCTGGTATTAAAAAGTGGAAAATGAATCATTATGATTATTGTATTTTATCAAATTATGATCGAAAACTTTCAACCTGATTCAATAGGTGCTAAATTTTCCATTGGTCAAGCTCAAACAAACCGCCATCTTCGGGGTTTCCAGAACACCAGTGACAGTGGTGAGGTACATAAAAAGTGACTGGGGAGAACCAGAAACGGTCGATAAACCAAAGATTATCCAATGAGAACAATTCTTGATTCCCATTGATAAACATCCTGGATGGAGACCTCAAGACCCTTGTAATCGATGGCTAGGAATAAACAAGCGATATGGCTGAGCGTCTTAAATGGTAGTGCTCCTGTCCATGTGACCTTAGTCCTCACGAAAATGCATAGTTATTGATCGTAAAACCTGAAAACTGAAACCGGTTGATAAACACCAGCAGAATACAAAACTGGGATAAAAAAACAACCTCTCAATTTGTGGAACATCAATCACAAATAACACGATAACAAAACGAAACTGAATAGGATCGCATAATATGCTGTTAAAATTTTCCAATCCATCGCCCTTTTTATTACTTCTCTACATCCATTTTAGGGTAACTGATTCCTAGGTGACAGTATCTCTAGTGCTGGCCGCCTACGCATGACAATCTGAGGCCAAGTAGCTATCTCTCAATTTTGGTTACTGTGATCGCCCTGCTAAATTCGTCTTTGATATTGGAGCGGTCCAGTGAGTCACCGCGTTGATATTTTCATACAAGTTAAGCAATAGGAGTAGGAATTTGTTTAATTGTTTCGTTTTATTCGGCTTCCGGAGGTTACGGTAACGTTGCAGGAAAGAACGAAAAATGCGTTAGCTCGGTGCTGTCGGAAGTCAGGTATTTTCTGCTTAGCTTGAGGGAGGTTCCTC